CCAAAAAAGAAAAGAAAAAAGTAAAAAAGTAAGAAGCTTCCGATTGCCTTAATCGCACTCGTAAGCGAGGTATCGATGGACATCGACGACGTAGTCATGGGAATTTCTCAATAAACTCTTCGATCGGCCTTCCGGTAGTCAGGCTGGGTTCGTTCGACCTACTTTCGCCCGGGCAATGACGTTGGACGTGACGTCACAACTTGAAACTGGGTCGCGAGGGTAAAGCACCCCATCGGCTTTCCTTGGATATACTTGGACGTGGACGTGGACGACTCGATTCATTGAAAAAAGAAGCACCACGGGAGAAAACCAACATCTCTCTCTCTCTCTCTCTCTCTTTCTAACGATACTCTTATTCCATTTTACAATGATTGATAAAAACATCTTTCATTTATCTTTTTTCCTTTTTTTTTTTTTACAATTTTTCATAAACATTTTGTATACTCGTTGCTTTTTTGTTTATTAAATCAATCGAAAATAACGATTAATAATTTAATCATTAACAATTAATATTATAATTAATTAGAATAATTAGAATTATTAATAACAACGTTTAGAAACTAACGAAACGGAAAGAATTTTGTTAATATTTATCGTTGATAAATAAATGTTAATTTAAACTATAGAAATAAAAAAGAAATGAAAGAATAGTTTTAGGAAAAAGTCAGGGAGAAACGAAAGATGTTTGAAAGCCGAACGGTTGGCAAATCTCATGAATGGCCGCGTAATGTGAATGAAGCTCCAGTAACCCAGTTTTGCTCCGCACACCCTACATCCCTTACTCCTCTTCTATATGTGTGTGTGTGTGTGTGTGTGTGTTCTGTGCGGTGCGATGCGATTCGATGCGATGCGATACGATGCAATGCGATGCGGTGCATAACGGATCCGTTAGGCTTGACGACATTATCGTTGGCTTTCTTTTCTTACCTTCAAATTAAACTAACAATATATCTATATTTTTTTTATAACAATTAGTATGAAAATGTTGGTTAATGGTAGTCAAAGATTTATCGAAATTATTGCAAAAACAAAAAAATTCGTAGGATTGAATTAGTTAATTTTC